CACGAGTCACACCTTCTTGACCCGTGAACCGCTCGCTCGAGTCACTAGTCGATCCACGGTCCCCGATCAATCCGGGCCGATTTTCACGGGTCTGGCTGGCCTGGCCGGCCCGTTCCTCTTGACACCTCTACATTGGCTTCTAGATTCAATATATGGGAGTTTAATTTTGATGTAAAGAAAAAGCAAAAAACTCTGATGTATTTTTTATTTTATTTTTTTAAAAGAAGCGAATTGAAAAAAAAAATACTGACAAATTAAAATTTTGTTAATTTGTATTAGTATTAACTTTTATGAAATTAAACAATTATTATTTATACATTCGTTATGTCTTAAAAAATCTAAAAAAAATTATTATCTTATACGTTTAACGGGGTTATTAATTTAATGCATTGGTCAAAATCGAAACCGAATAGTTTTTATTATTTAAGAAAGATTATAATGTTATCAAACATTCATTTATCGAAGTAAAATAAAATAAAATTTAAACATTTAAAAATGCATAAAGACTATTTTAACCTTCCATGTAAAATCAAATTCCAACTCATTTTCTTCTTCATCTCTTCGCTCTCCTCCTTCCGCTTTCGATATTGAAACCATAAGGCTCTTTTGATTTTTTATTATTATTTTTTTTTCAAAATCAACTTCTTCTACAAACCCTATCATTTCCCTTTTTCACTATCTTTCATCGTTCGGTTCCGAAATTTGGAACCCTAATGCTCCGAGTTTTGTAAATTAACTCCATTTACACCATATGCAAGTGGTAGGGGCACTTCTTCATCATTCTTTATAGTCGATTAAACAAGAAAGTGCTTCATCAGTTGTAATTGCAGCCCTTGCTTTGAGCTCGATAGCAATTGTCCTGAAAGGTAAATATACTCTTTGCATTTGTGGCTGTGTGATCAGGGGCGAAGCCAGGAATTCTTGTCAGGAGGGGCACGATTTAACGATGTTGAACGTCGAGTTTTTGTCATGAATATAATGATTATAAAAATAACTCTCTTCACGTTATTCGATGTCGCCCCAACAACATTTACGTTGTCCAAATCAGTTTTTCTTTGAAAGTATCTCTTCATAAGATTTCAACAATACCCAAATTTCACCAATTTCAACTCAACGATACCCAAACTTAACCAATTTCAACTCAACGATACCCA